CCATCCCCGCCTCTTCGACCTGTTTGTTTCCTCTCCACCTATCCTCTCCTCTATCCCTCTTCTATCCGCCTCCCACTCTCTCCCTATTTATTTCAAAACCCCCTTCCCCTCCCCCTTTTCTGATGAAGGGTCTAGGCCCGAAACGTCAGCCTCTCTGCTCCTATGATGCTGCTTGGCCTGCTGTGTTCATCCAGCCCTGCACCTTGTTGTCTGAGAATCAGCAGTTGCAGTTTTTGTGGATTTGCAAAAGGGATCCCATAAAGTGAAACCTAAAATGTTACTACAAAATATAAGAGTTCATGGTGTTGGGCAAAATACAGCATGGATAGAGGATTAGAAATAAAGTTGGGATTAATGGCACATTTTCAGGTTGGCAAATTGGGACAAGTAGGGTGCAACAGGAATCAACAACAGCTCCTCAGCTATATACAATCCATTTAAATTGCATGGGTAAAGGAACCAAGTGTACCGTAGACAAATTTGCTGATGATACAAAAAGAGGAGAGGCAGTGGCATAGTGGTAATGTCACTGCACTAATAATTCAGGACTCTGGATTTATGTTCTGAAGTCAAGAGTTCAAATCCCATGGTTGATAGCAAAATTTTAATTCACCAAAAATCTGGAATAAAAGCTAGTCGAATGATACCAATGCATCTAATGCTGTAGTTGCTGACTAATATTGACGGTCATTCACTGATGTCCTTTAGAGAAAGAAACCTGCCAGTTTTACCTGGTCTGGCCTAGAAATGACACTTAACTTTCCTCTGGATAGTTAGGGACAGAAAAATAAATGAAGGTTGTCTTCGAAAAGTTGAGGTTTGCGCCTGCTGGAGTTTTGAAGACTAAGTGACTTGATTGAAACATACAATTCTGAGGGGCCTTGACAGAGTAAATGCAGAAACGATGTTTCAACTTTTGAGAAAATTTAGAACTAAGAGGTCTAAAAGTGACCTTTAAGACAGAAATAAGGAGAACGGTCTTCTCAGAGTCTTTGGAATTCTCATCTTTTTAATGGAAGCATAGTCCTTGAATATTTTTAAGGCAGATGTGAATAAATTATTGACAAGGGGCTTAAAGGCTATTGAAGGCAGGCAGACGTGTGGAGTAACCGAATCAGCTGTGATCTTATTGAATGGTAGAGCAAACTGGAGGGGGACAAGTGGCCTGTTCCTGTTCCTAATTTTTACACGTAAAATGTGAAATTTCGAATGGGCTTGACAGAATAAATGTTGAAACGATGTTTCCCCTGTTGGGGGAATCTTAAGAGCTAGCAGAGTTTAAAAATAAGAAGTGTGCCATTTAATTCTAAGATCAGGAGTAATATTTTTTCTCCTAGGTCTTTGCTTCTCTCTACCCCAGAGAACAGTGAAGACTAGTTCATTGAAAATATTCATGTCAGAAGTAGGCACATTGTTGATCCACAACTAGTCAAGGGTTACAGGGGTAGAAAGTGAAGTTAAGACTAAAGTCAGATCATCAATGCTGATATCGAATGGTAGTACAGGTTTAAGGGGACCCCTCCTTTTCTTATATTCTTATGATAAACTAGTTGGGATTATAATAACAGATTGTCAGCATTTATATCTACATTAAAAGAGGCAAAAAGCTCAAGTTAGTTCCCAAGAGGTAGGGACAGAAAATAAATCGTGCAGAATGCTGAAATGGCAAAAATGTTGAACAAATATTGTGTGCCTGCCTTCACAGTAAATCTGTATTAAACTCATACTGGCTGTAACGCAGCAGCTCGAAATCACCTTCTCAAGGGCTATCAGGGATTAAATGATGATCCAGCCAGCAACTCCTGCATCCCTCAAATGAACTTTAAAAAAAAAAGCACAATATACTACTGCCAAAAACTAGATCACACAGCTAAAAACTGCGAAATTGCAGCTGCAGAACCAAACATTAGCTTAGTTTCAAGAAAAATAGCTTGACTGCACGACAAATATTTATCATTTGAAAAGTTAAAAAAAAAATTGAAAGGTCAGCACCTAAATGCCAAGAAATAAATATATTTTCAAATTCATACAAAATTCAAGGTGCCAAATTCTTCAGCACAAACTTCTCACACACAGAAACTGAATACGACAGGTTAAGGAGTGGCAAAAACTTGGCAGATGAAATAATCTGGGAAAATGTGAGGTTATGCACTTTGGCAGGAAGATTAGAGGAGGTGAATATTACTTAAATGGAGGACGACTGCAGGAAACTACAGAGCAAAGGGATTAAGGAGCCCTTGTGTATGAATCACATCCAAGTTCACTGGGTAATAGGGAAAGCAGATGGAATGTTGGTCTTTATTTCAAAATGGAATGGAGCATAAAAGTAGGGAAGTTTTGCTAAAACTATATAAGGCCCTAGTCAAATCAATGGTGCAATACTGTGAACAGTTTTGGGCCCCTTACCAAAGGAGAGATATAGTGGTATTTGAGGCAATCCACAAAAGGTAGTAGACTGGGCCTGTATACATTGGAATTTGGAAGGATGAGAGGCAACCTTATCAAAATATATAAGATTCTTAGAGGACTTGACAGGATAGATGTGGAAAGGTTAATTCCCCTTGTGAAAGAGTATAGGATCAAAGGGCATAATCTCAGAATACAGAGTCGCACATTCAAGAAAGAGACGAGGGACAATTCCTTCTCTCAGAGGGCAGTGAATCTGTGAAAATTGTTCCCACAGACAGCTATCGAACCTGGATCAGTGAGGGGAGCGGACAAGGGCCGGAGGGGAGCGGACAAGGGCCGGAGGG